TCGCGGAGCAACAGTGAATAGAAAAATGTATAACTTGAGTGTGTGTGTGTGTGAAAATATATATAAATATAAAAATATTTTAAAATACTGATAACGAAGTGTTTAGGTACAGCCACTATCAAACGAACTATGTCTACACATTTTTGAAACACAGTCCCACTGGATCGTAATTTTCCGATAACTGGAATCTGCGTCGCTCACTTTTCTTATCAACGAATGTTAACAGTCGCGTTGGAAACACATGCTCGTGGTAAAAATGACTGTGTCGACTGTGCGAGAATTATTAATGTCAATGTAAACAGGAATATTTCGGCAACGAAGATTCTTTCAAAATCAACACTTCCTTCACTCTTAACGGAATTCTGATTATCTGATCAGAATAATAAACGAAAATTTTTGCATAAAATGCATTTTCAAGAAAAGGTGTGTTGTGTCAATCGTGCCGAACAGAAAAACAGTTTTACATTCCAATAATGTGAATCCGAAATTATTCTGACGCACATGTGCCATTGAAAACAAAATTAAAATATTTTGAAACATAGCTGTAAAACTTTATATCACTTCCATTGTGTAAGAAAATAAAATGTATAAAGTTTCCAATGATTTGATTATTCGCAATATTCATTTAGATAAAAAGCCATCGTCCTTGAACGAGCATTTGGAAACCTCTTATTGTTAGAGTACTTCACGAAGCAAATCAAATTCTGTGCTATTCCAGTTCCTTAAAATTCTGTCTTTTATTGGTATAATTCGCTAACGATATTTCAAACGGTCATAATTCTCGCAACAAGAAACGGAGAAAAAGTAATTACACTTTCTGGCCGATTGATCGACGCGCAAATGAGAACCGCTGGCCTTTGTATCCGCTTGTCCGGAACAAGACGGGACGTAACTGGTCAGAGAAAATACACAGGGTGTGCTGGTTATACGTATGTATATAACGTCTCCTGGTCTCGAAGCAGGTGCTCCTTATTGCTCGGTCGTGGATCAGGGGCATTACATTTTCCTCGACAGCCTTAATCCAGTCCACTGATGCCTTTTTCGCACCCACTGTGACCAAACTGCGCCATTTAACGCGTATACATCAACCTGATCTGCCAGTGCGGTGACTCAAACTATAGCTTCCTAACACGTTAAGTGCCGGATGACAACCCTAAAAAGTCATTTAATTAATAAAACCGAAAGTTAAACCAGATAGTTAAAATATATCACACAGTAACTATTACTCTTGCATTTAAAAAATCTTAGTTCGTTCGTATATGGTACGTTCAGTTCAGAACTTTAAATCTAAATGTACTGGTGGTGTGCATATACATATAATTATAGAACCAAAGTAACTTTTACATCGTTAGTGATATCTAAACGAAACCTTAACAAAATATCGTATTTGTATGTTTTCATTTTCTATTACTTCTAATATAGTATTTTCTAGTATAATAAAAAGATCTTGACAAAATTTCGTGTTTGTATATTTCTATTTTCTATTATTTCTGATATAGAAATATGATATTTTGTTAAATTTTCTTGAGTGAACAAATTTTGTCACGTTATACTGCTTCAAGGGCCAGGCATAACGATAATAAAAAATTGTTCTCGAGGCCTGCATTGAAATATACAAGGTTCTTCTAAAAAACCTTGTAAAATTGACATTACGCGTAGCCCTCGAAATAATGCAACTTAGTCCTAAGAAGCTTTTTGGATGAAGATTTTATCTGAGATACTGTAGCAAAGTTCGTTTAATATAAACAAAAAGTGAAAATTCATAAAAATAAATAATATTCAACAGAATTATTGCAACGTACAGTGAAATTGAGAACTTCATGTAACTATGATACAAATTTCAAGAGATACATAGTTGCAGCACAAGCGATGGACACATATGTAATACCATAGAGGTCAGAACTAGCACGCGCTGCAAGAAAATTCCACGAAGTTATATAGACGTCACTACGATTTGCATAGAAAAAATGCAACTGATAGATAGGGTGAACCGTTGGCCGTCTAGTTCTGTCGCAGTTCAATGAAAGGGTGGAATTGGAAGGTTTTTATCTGGATCCGTAAGGCTTCGGAAAAAACACGAATGGTAATTCGTGTGCGTGGAATATTATATTATTGCGAGATATTTTATTTATACCGCGTAGTATTTCTTTGGTAACTGCTATACTGGCATCGCAAAAGTTTCCGACGATATTCAATATCAAACCCGTAATATAGGAGATAGTATCGCGTCCAATTTGGGAGAGAACTGTTTTTTCCCCCGTAGGTTAATAGTTTACTCGCCGGACACGCGAGGCGATTCCGTCTTGATCGATAGTTACACTTTGTTCCCACGATTCAACATCGTCCATTACAGCCATGAAAAGAGATCACTTCTAGAAAAAATACGAACTCGAAATTATGCTGGTGCTAGAGAGACAGCGTAATAGTAATTAATAGCGTTTCCAGAGGTACGTATTTATATCAATTTGAGAATAAGAATTGGTGGTTTATATCACTTTGTTTAGAGAGATTATTCTCTTGGTCTTGCGAAGTATTTTTTTGTATTTTGATCGCGAACATTTCTCGAGAAATTTGATCATCGCTAGCATTTTTAGAAACGCGTACGCGTTTATGGTTTATTTTTATGTAGAGGTAGAGCGTGAACCCTCAATGAGTAGGGATAAAAATGTCAATCTTTTTAAATAAAATGGAACAGATTTAGCCGTTCTGATGAAAACAATATTAACAGAGAATATATTGTAACAACAAATAAAATTATAATAGCAAATTTAGATTGAAATTGCCGCGCGGAATAATTGATTTAAAAATTATTCATAGAGTGGGCATTCAGCCATAAAAACTGTTAGATATAGAGGAAAATTAAAGGTCGCTGTGGGAGACTATGGTGTTGCCAGGGGGGAGAATGATGAATGGAAAGGGAGCAGTTTCGCATCAGCCAGAAATCCTGAATACGATCTTCGACGTCTAGCATTTTCTCACGAACGTCGAACTTCAAATTTATTGGGGCCTCGAGCTCCTCCATAGTTGCTCTTTCCATTAAATCTCCGTTTCCATCTCGTTTCTGTTGTTCGATGCTTTTCCTTCTGGTCGCATATTCATGACTAGAAGCATGGTAAACAATTTTATTTCTACATTTCTATCGCTATTGAGAAATTAGCTATTGTACTATACGTAAAGACAATAGGGAGGAAATTGATGGCGAAATACCGACTATGAAACTTTCGTATTTTTATCGATGAACAATCGTATTGATTCAATATTCAGTAAATGGGTGTAATATATTGATTGCAAATTTTTACATTATTTTTATGCTATTACTATTTTATTATTTTCATATTATTACTGTTATATTATCGTTATATTATTACTGTCATGTTATTTTTATGTTATTACTTTTATATTGTTTGTAAGAAATACGTTACTGTTGCATTCTTCTTTCTTGCAATTACAGCAGAATATTTTTAATTTACATGAAAATCCGTAATCTCGTTATGAATTTTAAATCACAAACCTGTTTGTTATGGTTCCAACAATCCAACAAGATCCCAACAATATTTTAACCAATTTGAATTGTCGTTTACTTACCCAATTTTCGGCTATTAAGTAAAATAAATAACAGTTACGTTGAGGATAACATACTAATGGATCTACAACTAATATATACAAAGATATATTTAAAAATTTGATAAATGGAGCTCAGAATTGTCCCGCGAGCATCGTCAATTGTATAGTAGTCGTACGGAGATCCGCCGTCCGAGGGTTAATCGAATATTTCCTGCTACGGGTGGTAATGAAAGAGACTTAACCCCTAACTGGTACGATGTTTTTCACTAAAATAAATGGTATATTGAGATCATGATAGATCCCACATAAAAAGTGCAAAAAGTAAATCTAATTATTATAGGTGTTAATCTAACTCTAGATAAACCATTCATACTATTCTATTCTTAGCCCGTGAATAAAATAATAATAATAATAAGGTGAAAAATTAAACGTTTTCTACAAAATAAAATAGGAATACCGTGTTGGGGTTACTTCTGACCCCAATACAGTTTTATAAAAAAGACACAATCGCAACTTAAGTTTGAATTATATATCATAATAATGATATATCATTGAATATATATCATAATCTCAACAATCTCGTAATAGAAAAATATGGACCGGTGATTTTAACCTTTACTGCCAACCAACGATAATATCGTTGTTAGTGGAAACAATGTTTTCTTAATATTTTCCATAAATACCAGTTTTATTTCTTAATTTATGTTCCTTCATGAATTTTCTAGTTATCAGATTTTACAAAATTTCTTTCGGAAACTTTAAACTACAACAAACAGGCTTTGGTATTTTGCGTTCATGTACATACAATTCTTTTGATCGGCACTAAAATGGTTAAGCTAGAAAAAAATTGTCAGAATCTGTACGCATTAAGGGCAATTTGATAGGTGCGCCCACACAAACGTGCAATCACCAAGTACTTCGCAATAGCATCGCTGGAATTCATTGGGTTGCATAAAAGCAATCGATCGTAGTTATGCCACGCGATGATTAACTTTCAAGTGATTTCATTGCGTTCGCACATCCGTTGTCACGGCCGGCAATGGGTGGTTGTGTTGTCTCTATGTGCGTGTACGGAATATATCGGCGGGGTGTGGAGGATGTCGTACGGCATCCCGAAGCGAAGGAAGACATGAGGGGAACAGTAACCGGTGGTAGTTGCGTTCGTACGCCCCCCACTAAGTTTCGTCGCGACGAGGAGGGACGTGGCCGCCACCACCGCCGCCACTACCACTACTACCACCATCAGCACCACCACCACCACCACCACCGTCATCAGCATCAGCAGCAGGAGCACCACCACTACCACCACCACTACCACCACCGCCACCACCGCCGTCGCCGCCACCACCGCCGCCGCCGCCGCCGCCGCCGCCGCCGCCACCGACGTCGCGATGCCGTGTGTGAATTCGCCTTGCATCGTCGGCGTCGTCTCAGTTACCAACAGTCCGCGCGATCGTTCACGTCGAAGTATTAGTGAAGTGAGTGAAGCTGGAGAGAGAGGGAGAGAGAAAGAGAAAAGTAACCAAGAGATAAAAAAGGGAAGAGAGGATCGTGAATGAGCGAGAGGAAGATATCGAGACCGGCTGCATACGTGTGCGAGAGGGAAAACTGAGGGATAGAAATAAAAGTGGAAAGGAAGAGGAAAGGAACGTCGCGTCGGAGGGAGCTTGAGAGCAAGAGAGAGAGAGAGGGAGGGAGAGAGTGAGAGAGGGAACAGTGAGTCGGAAAGAGCGAAAGAGAGGGGAAAGCACGCTACGAGCCATGCCGCACAGTCTCGCCTGAACAAAGGAAGGCTCCCTCAACCGAGGGTCGATTCCGATCGACGAACCGTTGGTCCCCCTTCGTTAGTCTTCGCCGCGCCTCGTGCGGCACGAGTGTGTACGAAGCGGTCAGTCACGTAGCAGCGGCCGAGCCGTGCGGAACAAAGAGCGGAACAGTTGAAAAGAGGAACGGCAGAGAACGAGAAGCAAGCGTGCGTCTGTGAACCGGCTCGCCGGCAAAAGAGACAGAGAGGAAAAAGACAAACCGAAGAATAATATACGTGCTTTTTGACGGGTCGTTTCGTTCCCATTGGTCGATATAGAAGCCCAAGCACACGCACACGTACGTGCTCTCTTTTGAACGCGGAGGGAATTCCTTGGTATTCGTTGAAATTTTCCATCGGAATCGGCTCCGAGTGTATGCGGGCACGTTCGACATCGCCCCCGCGTATCGTATCTGGCTGCAATTTGTGTCGAAGTTGTTCAACGCCGAGGAAACGCGTGTGTGCTCTTTCTATCAAGGTGCTTTCGTATTTCAAGTTCAAGTCCGAAGAGAGACCGAAGGACACATCGAGTCAGATCTTCGACTGACAGGTTCCTGCGTGCATGCGTGCCGAACGTACCGGCAACCTAACCTAACGACCGTTCGCACTCCGTACCGCCAGTACCGTCGGTGACCAACGGCCGTCGTTCATTTGTACGCAAACCAACGAGAACCGATCGTCGCGTACATTGTTGCTGCCGAAAGTGCTAGGAAGCTCGACCAAGTGTGACGAAAGCAGGATCCGGATATACGAACAAAAAAAGTGACTAAAGGCGACCGATCCACACCGTCTACATCTCCCGCTTTGTGTGACATGTGCCACAGGAACACTGTGCGAGTTTGAAAGAAGTAGAGCGTTTTTTCTCGACAAAAAAATAGAATATAAAAGCAGTGTGCTCTCCGTTCAACCACCTACGGATTATCCTCGTATTTACGGTGAGTTTAATATTACACTTTTTATTCAAATTAAACCGATGACGCTGCTGCCAGCGACTCCATGTTGAAGCGGCAAAACCCAGCAGATGTAGCGTTGATAATTGCTCGCGTTCAAGTGGAATTGAATGGTCTTTCGTGGTTTCATAAGGAAACTATAGGCTCCGGAACTAGTTCTTCACAGTTTTCGGTGAACGACGCCGAAATTGTTGTGAGATGGCGTGTGTTCCGAAGATTCTAGAATAGTCGTACTATGATTGGCTTATTCAGGAAAATCGTGACTTATTTTGGACGGTACGCGGCACAAACGTCTCTGTTTATTGTCCTTCTGACATTTCATGTGTCATTGACAAGATTTTGTCGTGGGAATCACCTTCCATCGAAATGCTAAGTTCTAAATAATATTAAGCGCGGATTCTAATTTCCGCCGGCACTGTTGTGTAATTACTCCACGACTCTCGATGTTTAAAGATCGAGCATTTCTAAGTTTAGAATTTTCAAGGTCTCGCGGCTCACCGGAGAATTGACTTCGGTCGATCAAATATTTATTGCCGTTGTGAAATTTTTTCCATTATCTTGGGAAATCGAGACTCTGCTGACTGAAAACTAGTGGAAATCAATATAAACGAAGATTAAGAAGCCTGTGACTCGTGCCAAGGTTAGGCAATACATATTTGCGAGCGTTAGGATTTTCTGAACTTGAAAATTGAATTCGATATTTACAGTTTCGAATTCACCGTGTAATGAATTATAAACAGAATTGTCAGTCTCATTATTTATGTACGATGTTTATTTATTAATAGTTATTTATTCGTTGGAAAATTTAATTGATGACTGTAGTATAGTCAACTATAAATATTCTTGTGGATTGTTAAATGTTTTCTTTCTTTGTGATCAAGACTTTGAAGTTTATGCGGTTCGCAGACCATCCTACTTCCGGTGACATTCATTACAGCGAGCGGCTGTTACAATATTCAACAAAATTCGTTCGTCCCAAGCATACAAATCTAATTTATTATAAACATAGAGACGTCATCGGAACTTTTTGATATTTGTACTTTTTCAGTAATTCAAATTTTTTAGCACTTCTCGATGTTTCCTGTTATTTCTAGAAGCACTGAAATTTTCAATAATACTTTCTGAAATATAAATCGCGTCACGCATTAAGTACCGCGATATTTGACAGTTTCGATTTTCTTGAATTTTAGAGAATGTGAAGTGTCACCTTTAGAATCTTGACTTGCGCGTTCAAGGGCGCCACCATTTTCATCCCCTGTTGCTCTCGTGACTTCAGCATATAGGAAGCCGACGAGTAACATTTTTCTTGCATGAAAAAACTATGATCTACAACGAATTACAGCTGAATTTACATTATGATTATTTAAAAAATATTTCAATTTTTGAAAATGGTACCAGATGTTTTGAAATTACTACGTATAGTACCATCAAATAGTGTATCTCAAAATGAAAACACTAAGAGCGACAGCTCAGTAGTACTTTATAATCAGTTTTGGAAATCTACAATTTTAAGAAAGAAGAATTAGTACATTATTATGTTACAACATTTTTATTCAAACTAATTCATTAATTCACAAATTTCTTTCATACGTTTTTCTTTTTTTGACACAAGTTTTATTATAATAGTGATGAATTCTTCTCGTCGTTCGAGGGTTGATAATATTAACTGTTTCTTTTTAAGAAGAAAATATTAATTTATTTATAGAAATACCAGAATTTCTGGATTTTGCGCGAATAAGCGAGTTGATTAAAAAATTTCTCGCAAAAATATTCGAGCCGGATAATGCGAAAACGAAAAAAATAATTTCGAAACGAGTTACGTCGACTCGTCTGGTAATTCTACCGTTAAGTGCTTAACATTTTTATTGTTGACCCGAAAGTCCGAAAAGCTGAATACGCGAATTCATATACGCTGGCACGATGAGTTTTATTCGTCTCTGTTCTCGAGCGAGCGAAATTCATAACAGAAAGAACGGACGGACGGCCGGTATAAGCGTGCTCGAAGGAAACAGCTATCAAAATTCATCGAGATCAAGTGGGTTTCGCCGCGAAACAAGCTGGTTTTGTACTCGTGGCATCGAGTATCTTCTCCTCGCGTTGATGATTCATTTTCGAATGGAATAATGCGCGTTCATCGATGCAGGTCGCTCATCGATTTCTCTCCTGAACGAAAGGTTTGGCTCTTCGAGGGAGATCAAACATACATTTGAGAAATATTACATCTTCACTTTTCGAAGCTAATTATTAATTACGAGGTCTAGAATGTAAATCTTAATGGTTAGCTATTAGAAGCCCCTTTTTGTGGTTCATGTTCCTTGTCTTGATCAATCTAATATTAGTTTAACTCATAGATATTGATGTCTGAACTTTTAACGTTCTCCTCCTTCATTTTAATGATTCACTTTATTGCAAACTACTTTTTTTTCCTGTACAGTTCTTATAATCAATATTAGTGTAAACAAACCGAAACAAACTTGTGGCAGTTCAATTTAAAATAATATGGATTAAGTTGAACATTTTCTCGGTCATAAAGCATTAATAATTCAAGCAACATGAATGTTATTCATTTGCTTTTAAATCGAAACAAAATTTGATTCTTTTGTTATGAAAATTTATAAATAATAGTAAGTGGAGACATACATGAAATAAATAAAATGTTATATCAGAGAAATTGTTAAGGACGAAGTGCTAATCATTGCAGCTGTGAATGAAGTCTGAGTATTAATACTGAATATACCGAGCTATCAAAATACGAAGTACAAAAATGTACCGATTGAAATTTTTCTCAACTTGAATTACTCTCTGCGTACGTGTAAATTAATATTTCAACGTTGCATAAAAATGACTAAATTTTATTTTCCTGTATGAGGCACAAAAATGCTCTTAACGAGATTTTAATTAAATTTCTCCATGTACGAGTGAGTTAATATACAAAATAAATTCGGACAGTGGCATTATAAATGAATAAAAATTCTACCATATTTTATAATGATACATATTTGATAATTAATTGTAAATATTGTAACAAAAAATATGTTGAGTAAGTAGAATAGACTTTAATCATTAATTATTTTATTAGCACCGATAATAATCACAAATATTCTATCGAATGTATAAAAATATATTTTATTTAAGAGAGTATTTTGCTTTCCAAAGAGAATACGACAAAATTTTGAAAATTTGATTCACACAGAATAAAAGGAACTGTACCAATTATAACATGTACAGTAGAGAACACTGTATCAGTTCCGCGATAAACGGCAGAAACCCGTGTAGAACGAATCAGAAATCCTGATAAGTATAGCCATCGAGCCTATAGAATCGTTTCATTCATAACTCCGAGGATATACGCTTGCTTCGTGACAGTACATGAGTCACTTTTACGCGATTCCGAGTAAATACGTTTCACTTTAAAACGTCCACGTGTTCGGTATAGAAGGTTACGTCAAAACACTAGAATTTTTCTTTCGAACTGACAGAAAATCGTTGTCGCATTTCCGAACGAGAATTAACGCGGCGGGCATCCCAATTATCGACTGAAAGTACAAACTTAGTAGTGAATTGTGATTCTATCGGTGCAACATTTGTTTGGAGTCCGATGAAATTGTCAAGGAAATTTAGAATTTTTGACTGCAATTTCTGTCCCGCATTATGATGCGAATTTCTAGAAAGAAAAGAATTATCGCCATCGATTGCAAGAAATTGAAACCAAGTAGCAAGTTCTTTCTTCCAGCAATAATTTTAATAGATTGAAAATGATTAACATTTTAAAATTCACTTGTTCTTCCTACTATTTTAAATTGCAGCTACTCAATGTTGCCATAAATAAATACAATTTGTAGTGTAATAATGTAAAAACAAATAAATCAGTATCTTCGAAAATAAATATTTTAAAGAGCAGAAATTGTTCTAACTTTATTAGGTCAACTAGATCTTTATTAACAAATAAACAAATTGTAATTTATTAATCCTGTTTATGATGGCCATATTAATTAATTGAAACTTGTTTATTTATTACGTTCTACGGGATACGACTAAGCTGCATAAAAAGGTTTTTCTTTCGTTTTTAATAGCGCTTTTTCGGCAGCTATTAAAACCGTGTACATAAATCCTCGAATATCGTCAAAAATAGCCAGCAATTATCGGGGAATATTTTACATTCTCGTCGTTGGAAAATTTGATCAACGCACGCAAAAATACGGGGTCTTTTTTTTACCAGTCGAGCGTCGTCTGCGGTACTTGTGTTGATGAACTAAATTGAAATTACCAGTTGATTATATGTTGTGTACTTTTTTAAAAAAACGATAGCTCCTCATTTTTTTTTATTTAGAACAGGATAAAAATTTTCATATTCTTCTTGGTTTATCATATTTTTCTTGGTTTTTCATATTCTTGGTTCTTAATATTCTTCTTGGTTCTGGATATTCATTTGGGTTTTCATATTTATATGATCGTATACTATTTTCTTGTGTGTGTGTGTTTTACATTAATTTTTCTTTTATTCCTGATTTTTGCATGAGCTCAATCGATTGATTATAGGAGTTATTTCTAAAGTAGAATTATTTCTTGTACGGTGAATGTCGCACGACGATGTACACGGTTCTAATCAATATGTTCCATACTCGGTGTTCAATAAACAACATGTACCAATATTCGGCTTATTGTCGGTATTAATATGACGTCGTTAGCACATTGCGTACCGGCGGCGTTTAATCAGTTTCCGTTACATTAGGGATCCGCTGAACCGATGGCTGAGGTTTAATCGATCAACGAGCGAATGTCATAACGAGAACGCTGAGATTTCATTTTTACTGAATTTCAACGATAATCGTCGTTAATACCCATTATATTTTCACAGCTGCTTTGAAGGCGCCATTAAAGCCACTAATATAATAAGCGTTTTTTGCGTTTTATAAAGAATCGATATCATCATTTCAATCATGCAACCGGAAAGTGATTTAGGGTATGAAATTGAAACAGTGAAA